CTGTGCTTGCAATATTGTCACTTTCCTGATCCACTTTACTGTGTGGTCATACTGTTATGTAATAGAGTTTGTTATTGGCGTCTCTGTAATTATTTACATAATATACATTTGCCATATCATTGTTTTTGTGTTGCAGTTTTGCTCAGCGGCAATGTGCTGCTTTGGATATTTTTCCCATACAACTGTCCATTTTTGGAATGAAATTCTCGTTGGGTGTTCTGAATATGAAGAGTCAATTTACGGTCATTGGCTCATTGGTCAATATTACCGAATTAGGGATAAGAAATGAAATCATGGAGTAAATGGTATAATAATCTTCATAATTTATTTTCTCTTTCAATTTTATCATACAATATGATATCTCGTATAAAACAATATTCTTTGTTAAATTCATAGAAATATATTATTTTAGTATAACTGTGTCCATATCTTTTATAAACTTACAAATTACTGTTAACATTCTGAATTTCTTTTGTATAAAAATAATACAAATGGCAGTGGGGTGCGCTCTCTGCAGAAACAACTTTGTTTGAGTTCTCATTACTTCGCACCCTCGCCCTATATAGTCTATATAACAATTCAACTTGTTAATTGGTATTATAATTACTTACAATAACCTATCGAAGACAATGGTACAGAACAATTTACTGTAGCACATTTATGGTAACAAAAACAATTAAAAACATAGGTATAGGCTTTAGTTTACAAAGCGTAGGCACTCGAGATTGCTACTTCATCCTATAAGATAAACATTCTCACTAATAAATACTTCCATCACACATTCACTCGCATCGTTCACATGTCTGACGTTCGTTCATTACAAAACACTCCCAATCTCATTCGTTCACAACAAATATTTTAAATCGGACGGCTTCACGTTACAAAAGACACGTCCTCTAAAGAGCACCGGGTCAGTTCCGAGAATCATCTTTCAAAATGGAGAAAACAATTTGCGCGATCCAAGCTCTCGCTCAATGTACACAAAGCACCGCTAATTAGTTCGCGGCGCTACACATCGACACAACTATCATTTACACAATATACATGTGTGGGTAATTTCATATCAATAGATATGTATAGAAACATTCGTCTATCACACACATCTTGGTATTTAAATATCATTTTTGTGTCGGTATACGTAATAATTTAGTAAATAAGTTTAAATAAAAACGAGGGTAAAGATAAAATTACTCATAACAAACTTTGAATAAATCGAAATCAAAAATAATGAACGATCGAGCTATACAATACCCATATAAATATAGTGCTTTCTCATTGTAATTTTATGTTACTGAATGATATACAATATTTCGATGATCTCATCTACAGCGCGCTTGGCGCAATGGTTATCGCCTCCAATTGTCAAGTAAAGTGCCGCCGGATCGATTCCAGCATTCACATGTTGTTTTAGTATTAATTTATCAAATATTTGAAATTTGAAATTAGAAACAATTAAATCTTTTCTTTTTTTTCCTATCCTATTGTTCTAAATCTTATGTTAATTTTAATAGTAAATACTTTAGATTTATTTATACCTATAAAATCTTTTATTTATATTTTAGTTCTAGTTATTTATTATTTAGAATAATCTCATTGGCTTCATGCATTTCAACCAACTTAAATAAGATAAAAAACAGTAAAAAAGTAATTAACTGTGATTTCTTAATGGTTCGATACCTGAGTATATTTGCAATGTTTGTGGCGACCATAGAAATCTCGAGTCATTTTATTTTACCCGCTTATGAAGTAACTACCGACTATTTAAAACATGTTTTTCATCAATCACCCGACTTACAAAATAATTGCGTTCTTAGTTGTCAATTTATGAAGATTTCATAGTTTATTGCTACACTACTTATATTCGTGTGCAAAGTTATTTTTATTTTTACAAGATGTTCCAACACCTATCAACATTTAAAAAGGCTGAAACCATTGTTTTGCATGAGCAAAACATAACTAACAATAACTGAAATAGCAAGGCGTTTAATGATATCGGTGAGTAAATAAGATACTACGTTGATATTCTAAATAATATTTATTTCATTTTGTAACTCGACACACCTATCAATTTTTGCACTAGAATAAAATAATTATTGCAACTTATTATGAAGTTCAATATTATAAAGATATATTAATAATTTATTATTAATTGTATTGTAACTTGACTTGTTTTTGTTAGGAGTGTTTCTTTAAAACATATATGGTTAGGGATTTTTATTCCTTACGCCACTACTTATTATAAATTATTATTCTAACATTGTGTTTACTTATATTTATTATTATTTTTAAGTAACTTTAATTCCTGTAAAGTATTTCCTGGTATTTTAAATACTTATTTGTTTGGTATCAACAGAGGAGATCCGTGCAGTTATGGGTGCACAGATATGCGGAGACCGGTGACGTTAACATCGTCGACGTGGGCCTAAACCAAAGGCAAATTCATCGGCTCGGCACTACGACATCGTAGCCAGGCACATGGCTGATCCGTTCCTGCCAACCGCACTACAGCGACAGCACTGAATGTTTTAATACAAACTGTACGGAGACACCTGCATTCTGGTTTAAGGTGCAGGAAGCCAGAGAAAAATATTGTTATCTGTGGTTCACCAGCAAAAGCGCTAAGAATTTGCTAGGACTTTATTAATTTTGATTGGGCGAACAGTGTAATCATATTGAGCGACGAAAAGACTTTCAAGTCGGATAAGGATGGGCGTAAAATATTGTGAGAAAAGATGGAGAAAGGTATACGAATTGCAACCTTCTGCCTTGTAGGATCAGTGATTGTATTGATTTCGGAATCAATTATTGAGCCTGTCAAACTCTGCCTTTATTAAAATTAACATAAATAATGTTTAATTTTTTTAAGAATATTAAAATGCTGTCTAGAACATACGGTGAAGTGATGTTATTGTTTTGTGGTTAGAAATTGTCATATTTCTTTCTATTCAACATGTTTATTCACTTCACTTTAATTTTTCATTAACAAATATTTAACTGCTTTCGAACTTGATTGACATATTATATTTACGCCCATCTTCAATTAATTTAAAGTTTCCCTGATTCTAAAGGTCATGAAAAAAATCGTTCCATAGCATTCGTCACATTTTTTTTACTATCATACAGCCCACTGAATATTGAACCTTATAACAACCGTCGTAAAATACATAATTAAACTGTCAAACACCAAGCGGTCACCGGTGACCGCGACCCATTGTTCTTTAATTGTGTCTATAAAACCGGTACTCGACGAGTTAATGGAAGATTCAAACGACAAAAAGTCGCCCATTTCACGAAATATTATGTTGACAGTGTAATTTTTTACATGTTTTACTTGTTTATTACTTATGTATTATTAAATTACAAAACAAGAATGTTGTATTTGTTTATTACTTAATAAAAAATGTTGCTGCCATCGTATTACCGCTGTACCGCATGATATTTCCCGATTCGACTATGAGGTTTATTGTCATATCTATTAATTGTGATTTAAAGAACTTTAAACTTAACATGTGGTATATAATTAATTATTAGATATAAATATAAAACAACATATTTGTATAATAAATAAATTAATTATTGTAATAAAAAATAGTATTGTTTTATTTACCAACTCATTTGCTTCTTTTATAGCCTGATATTTATATTTTATGACAAAAAACAAAAAAAAAAATAATTAGAAGAAAAATAACAAGGTAAAATAAAATAAACTTTTAGCTGGAATAGAACCCACATCATTGATCCTTGAACGGCGATAAAAGCGTACGCATTAACCAATCGACCACGAGCACTACGATAATGACAGTGAAAATGTCGGGTCATATCGATGATTGTAAATAGTTTTAACCTTACCTATGCATTAAATTATAAAAATACGTATACCGACACAAGAATGAAAATACCAATGTGAACGTGGTGGACGAATATTTTTATACACAGTAATATGAAATTACCCACACATGTACACTGTGTAGATGACAGCAGTGTCGATGTGTTGCGCTGCAACTAATTAGCGGTGCTTTGTGTACAAGGCACTCGAATTCACTCGATACTTGCATACTATCAGTCTCCCATACAAGCACTTCATTTTCATTTGTCTCGATACAGTCAAGCGAAGCGAACAAAGACGTTCCAGTCCACGGCGGCGTCAAAACGCTATTGTCGCGTTTAAAAAGTTAACCTTGTGCAACAAAACGTGATTCGGAACGTCCGAGTGTTGAACACATGGCCGCCATTCCGCGAGGGCGGCGCAGGCGGAATTTTAATTAGCAGAACATCCGCTCGTGACTCGGCCTGATGCGCCGTTGCCACTCTACACTACACTATCTCTTTCGCACCGGCTGCGTTTCGTACCTGTCACAACACGGCCACGGTGTGCGTCTCCGTCCAAATCGCAATAAATAAAGTCCGAAATGTAAACTAATTATTATAATAAGATTCTACTGGACAGAAAAATACACACAATGGCCGGCACACAATGAACAATGGAAATCCCCGATTCAGCGAGGCAAGTGCGGCAACATCGCTGAAACGGGAAATTCGCCGTAAAACTGGCAACGCCGCCTCAACCTCGTTCAGTCAGTCTGCAAACGAATGACGTCGCACGATTATCCTTTCTAGTTTCTACACTATTCTAAATGAGACAACGCAATACTGATTTAAGGAAAACATTAGTTCTGCAACTTACAATGGAAGCTAAAGCTTTTGCAGTTGTGACTCGCTCTAAGTACATCCCTCGCTAGTGGATCATAAACATTTCACAATCAACAACCTGGAACCAGCTCCTTCGAGCGGACGTTCTGCCTGCACACATCACTGGCAACCTAATCTCTCAAACTTAACGATACATCCACAGCATCCTTAACGTAGCGTCAACACCTTATACACTAGTGTTCATTAACTATATATTACACAGTAAAATTAAGATCACAAATCGCTTTGTATGCTGCGTCCTACCGGGCGCGACTAGCATGGAATGTGGTGGAGCGGCGGCGACGGCACGATCAGAAGTGCGAGTCGATGTGGCAGCCGCCGTTTGCATGCTCCAGCACCTGCTCCTTGAGCCGGTGCACGTGCTCCTTTAGCTTGACCACCATCTGCGCCAGCTCAGCGTTCTCGCCCTTCAGGATCTTGACCTTGTCCTCCAACTTGGAGATGCGCTCCAGTTTGCGCCGTCTGCACTTGGATGCGGCCACTCGATTCCTTTGCCGTTTGCGTTCCAATTTGATTCTTTCTTGTGTATCCATGTCAATAGGTGACATGGGAGGTGAACTTGCAGCACTTGGAACAGTCTGAGGCTCGTCCTTAACCATAGGAGTAGGGTAGCGGTCAAGCGGCCTGTCCAAATCAGCGTACACTCGTCGATCGACACGTCCGATCTGTGGCGTTGGGTCCGAGTGGTGTAACTTGTCCAGCGCCTCAACGAATGGGCGCGCGTACATTTCTTGTTCCTCTGTAGGCGCGATGCTAGCCGGGAATAGAACAGGCGCACCAGGTGTAGGAGTTGCCGTCGTGATCATACCGTTCTGGATGATCAGCTTCTCAAGCTCCGGAGAGCCGAGCTTCAGCATCTGCAGGTCTGGTGAGGAGAGGACCGGCGCTCCGCCGATCCTGGCCCGCTTGATGCCCCGCCCCACGTCCAAGGTGAGGGGTCTCTTCAAGTTCTCCACAGGTCCACTAAGGGGATAGCTCTCGTCATAGAAAGTGGGCTCCATGCCGTGTTGGAAGCGTCGAACCATGTGTTTGCACCGAACGTCTCGGTATCACTAAACTCACTGCGCGAATATCAAAACTTTTTCATGCGGCAACGCACGTCCGACTCCCTCAACGTTCCACTTGTTTCTAAACATTGTTAAGAAACAACCACTGCTTTTATTGAGTGACTCAGATAAGCTATTTTTAGAAGTAGCGTGATACTGCCGAGCGCTCATTGGCCGAATATCACGCGATACCAAGTAACGCTGGCGTATGATTGGTGGTTGGCGTCGTAGCGTAGCGCGAGGCCGCAGCGGGCTGTTTACGACTTCGTACGATTACCGAGAATCAGTAAGAGCGTGTCCATTATAATATCGAACCCCAACTATAACGTACTTACAATAAACGCCAATTCTAATATAGTTTCCTACACGCTCTTACAACTGTTAAAATGCATAAAGTGCCTGTAATTTTTAGGGTAGGCCTGTAATTTTTGTTCTGTATACATAATACATACCTAATAATACTATGTATTATTACTAAATTCTTTTGTACCAGGTCACACCTTTTTTACTTTAATTTGGGAAATAAAAATACTGATCATTTAACAGGTATGGTTTAACCTAGATATGGTTTTTCATACGGTTACATAAATATAAATAAAATAAAACATCTAGTGGAATGTCTATAAAAATAATTTCTCTCATTATTGTGATAAATTGTAAAACCTGCTGTAATTTATGTATGTAAGTCAGGACTTGTCTCACTGCAGTAAAAAAATGTGGTCACCTGTACCAAACACTGAAAATTATCAGCATTATTTAAAAAAAATACAGCAAGTAAGGGTATTTTATTCAATGCTTTTTTTCTGTCACATAACTAAAAAAAACCTGCATTCCTCCGCTACAAGAAAAAACACGCTCAATAATTTAATTAAGTGTCCTCGTCGGTATTTCATTTTTATTTTTACCAAGCTCGCTAAAATAATATAGTTTTAACGAGAGTCAAAGTGTTACAATGGAAACAGATGGATTTGGGTGAGGCACGGAGGCGGGGTAGCCGCTCGCGCGCGGGGCAAGAAAATATTGTGCGGGGCGCGGGGGAGGGACCGCGATACTTCCACACGACAGAGCGAGACGCCACGCTCCCATCTCTCTCGCACAAAAGATAAGTCCAACAACTGAGCAAAAGGAAAATAAAATGCATCTAAAATTCCTCCATTATTGTGGACTCCATTTGATGTTATTGTAAAGTTGACCTTCATTTTTATAGCATCAACACAGCACCAGAAACCTGCAGATATTCCTATAGTTAGGTACTAAGTAGGTACTACTACCGACAGCACCCACTGGCCATGACAGGCAACGGCTAGCGGCTGGGAGAACACTTTATGGATATTAAGCATCATTAAAATTATTAACATTGTTTTATAGCCACATAAAAATGTTACAACGTGTACTTGAAGTTCAAGTAATTAGAGTTTTATGTCCTGAAGTTAGCACCTACGTACCTAGACAGTAATAAAAATGTTCTAGGTTACCCCTTTTTAGTGATTTTCCATGTGCAAAGTCCAGATGTCAATTTCCCTGTTGGATAAAGAAAGAGCAATGAGATAACAAAGTCACTGACATGTAACTTATCGCCTCTCAATAATTACTTCTTTGAGAAGGTAACAGATGTTCAAAGTAAATAAAAGTAGGTGTTATACACCTACCTATAGGTCGCTACTATCGGAAGAGATAGAAGTTTCTACATAAATACTACAAATTAATTAATCATCATCAATTTAATGACATAACAATACATACAAATAGCCTACTGATGATGAATAAAAATATTTTGACAAATTCGGCTCCTAAACACACGATTTACTAGTTCCTACGCATCATTAACTTATTTGGGGTCAAGTGCACATCCGAAGGTTCCCATGTGGGTCTCCAGTATAATAATAAATTAATAACAAGTTGAAGGTAATCATCTTAGTTATTGTTGCAATCATCACTAAATCGTTTAATAATAACACGAGTGGGTTTATAGGAAGCGATTAAGTAAGGGATCATTTAATACTAATAACTAGGTAAGGTTCGGAGGATAGGTCATTTATTTTTAACCATTAGCTTTTGCGGTTTTATGGTTGGCCGTTAGAATAAAAAAAGAAATTATGTAATAAACTTGGGGCTAAAATATGCGGATATCTGATAAATATTTCCGTTTTCGAAATGGAATAGTATTAAAAAAGTTATTCCAACACTATTTCGACACATATTAATAATTCAATATATTACTTCTAATGCTAATGCGAGTGGACGGCTTGATATTATTATATTGCCGGCATCAAACGCGTTTGTTGTTTTTGTTTTCCATAATAACAATACAGCATGTTGTTAATACTACTACTGCCATCTAGTAGTCACAATACAAACTTCCTTTATTTAGTACGTCTATTCGCTACTAGATGACGTAGCTAACTATACTTTTTACTACTTGACAATAGATGGCGTTGCTTTGTAGAGTGAAAACCTCAAGCTATTCAAGTGAAAACTAATTGAAATCAAATCAACGTTAATCGAAGTTTTGACGAAAAGTAAATCGTAGATTAGATCGTCGAAGTCTTTATATGGATGACCATTTAAAGGTCACACGTTTCTAAAATCAATGAGGGAACATTGTTTTATTGCACAATTTCACACTACATGCTGAATATGAAAACGAAAAACAGGCTAAAAACCAGTTTGAAACATAAAATCACGATATTAAAATAATCGTCATAAATAAAAGATAAAAAAAACACATATTTCACATCAATTAAATTTAATACAACATTCATTTGTACATCACATCATCTAGAAACTTATAAATTAACTTAGATTTGACAATTTCCTATTTTTATTTAACGGTAACGGAGATTATTCGAACGTCTTCATATGGTTTGTCCGTCTTCGGATTCGTCTTGACACTGCCGATATTTTGTACAACTTCCATGCCTCGAACCACTCGGCCGAATACTGTGTGCTTGTTGTCCAACCACGGCTGTGAACAAGAGAAGGAATACAAAATATTATTAAAAAAATATGTACATGTACTTTAATTTTGCCAAGAATTCAAGAAAATTAACTCTTATGGCCTTCTCAAATTTGAACTCTTCTCAATGGACAATGATTAGTAAGGCCCGTATTAATAAATAAGTCTCAATCACGATGTCAAGACCGGCATCAGTTGATACGTTCTCAAGATGCGATCAGCATCTTAATGTCGACGCTAATTAATAAACCTATATCCACACGATCTCAGGTGATACCGCGGTTTGGATCGAGTTATCAAGATTCGTAATTTGACACTCAATGAAATCCTGATGTTAAGACTTGTTACGTCACAGCGAACGAACTACATCTACATCTTTCGTTCATTCCGTTTAGTAATAGCTTTGTAGAACGATAATATTCAACTCTGGTGTATAGGAAACTATATTACTTTTTTATATTGTATACATTATGATTTGTTTGACCATAAAAAAGCACTATTCATTATAAAGTTACGTTTAATTTTGTGACAAACGCACATACCTACCAGGGATTGCGCGTCACCTCAATATTATATCTGTCTCTTTCTCTCAATTGTTTATTAGGTACTTGATAATACAATCATACATATCAGTGTTTCGTGTTTATTTACAAGTTACTTATTAATCGACTGCCTCGTTGGCCGAGTGGTCGCAAGTGCGACTGCCGGGCAAGGGGTCTCGGGTTCGATTCCCGGGTCGGGCAAAGTACTGCTGGGGTTTTTAAAAATTCACTTTTTACCAAATTATTACTTATCAACGATACGATATCAACAGCACTGATTCTTGATTAAATCGAAACCGTTTTGCGTAGGTAATTCGAAGTTTAGTTAATGCGAATTTGTCGCGTCCCTTATATAAACTTTAGGTAGGTACTTTATATATTTTGAAAAGCCCATAAAATATCATCGTATTAGTCGACTTCATCATAATAATTGATTTCGGAAATAATATTCTCAATATTCATGGTTCCCGCGAAATACTTAGGTACGAGTTCACGATATTAAGTCCAGGGTCGACTGAACTTAACAATCGTGGTCTTGATAACCGTCCTAATACCGATCTTGAAACCCGAGTAATGTTTATTAAACAATACGATCTCAGGTGATGACAAGGTCTTAAACCGCGTATTAGGTTTTGTTTATTAATATGTCGGAATATCAAACAGGATCTTAACATCTCACTCTTACGCTGATATCGGTTTATTAATACGGGCCTAAGTCTACTTCTACTCATGGATACAATGATCAATTATTATTATTACAATAATAACAGAATTATAACCACAATACAATACATTCTATAAACTATAAACCATCAACCATAAGTTACCTTAAACTGTCAAACTTCAATAAATTCTCAACTTTATAAATTATAATAATAAAAAATATAGGCTCTTCAATGAGAGTCGAATTAACTTCAAAATAAGTATAATACACATAGAAACGTTTGAAAGAGTGAAGTAACTCAGTATGCTGGCTTGTTACTATAAATTACTAATTAATTTTGATCAACAAACTATTCTACTCAATTAATACAAGACGTACATTGAACTAGTGAATTAATTAATTCTACCGGAATTAAGCCATCAATTGGAGGTAATTCAAATTGTCAATAGTTCAATGTGTGTCACGATTCCAGTCAGTTTAAATAGAATAATTGTATATTTACCGGACTGTAGTATTTCTTGGGAATATTTTTATAAAGATGGCAGAGCTTCGAGTTCAAAGGTCGAGTAATGAACAATACAACAATGTATGTAAGCTTAAAACAATATTGATTTATTGCTGTGTTGCTGTGCAGGAAGCCTTCGTTTTTTTTTTGTGAATGTAATGCTTCCAAAACACTACATAATCGAGTCAGTTGTCGTACTAGTTCCATTTGTACATACAAGTTATGTACCAACAACTATTTATGAGCGTAACGCAGGTATATTATTTTATTTCGGAAACAGACGACATATTGTGAGAGAATTTCGTAAAAAGTAAATCTAAAACACAAATAGTTTTGTATTATGTTCTACGCAAAATTCTAATACCAAAAAAAGTAAATTAATGTAATGTAACTGCAACATAAAAACTTATAATAAAAAGTGAATTAATGTATCGAACAGGTTCTGTACATTAATTCAGCTTATTTTTTTTGCAATGCACATGCATGCAAAACTTTTTACACAGGTACAGTTTCTTATCTATTTACTTCTAGAAATGCAAACATGTACAGAATGTGGGGAAAAGGAGTGTGGAAAAGCACGTAGACTAAATTCTTTGAAGCCAGTTCTTTTCTTTCTATGGCATACGGCGGCCAACGATTAGATAGATCACCTGATGGTAAGTAATCAACGCGGCCCATGGACACTCGCAACACCAAGAGGAGTTACAAGTTGCGTTGCCGGCCCTTGCGAATTTGGGATTTTAACACAAATCTAAGAAACTTCCACCTCCTTGCTGTTATAAAACTTGAATAAAATGTTTGTAGGCTTACCGTAGGTGCGAGTGTGATGAAGAACTGGCTGCCGTTGGTGTTGGGGCCGGCGTTGGCCATGCTCACTGTGTACGGCCGGTCGTGTTTCAGGTGAGGCTTGAACTCGTCCGCGAACTCGCCACCCCATATACTCTCACCGCCAGTGCCCGTGCCTAGATAACGCAAAAAAAAAATTAAGATTGTGTTGTCTTAACCTCATGTTTGCGGGTATAAAGACACCAAAAAGAACACATAATATCTGGCGGAGATCTGCGCTCCGATATACCACGCGTTAAACGACCTAGCTGTATCATTACTCCTAGTTATGTTGCCTTTTAAGCTTTGGTGAAAGATTTGACGTATCTCCCATATAAAATCCTTAACTAATAGTAGTCAAATTAGCCCTAAATCGTACTGTTTGCCAATTAACCCTTTTGTAATATGAATCATTATTAATCCTTTGTCATAGTCAAAGTCAAAGCATTCATTGCAATTAAATCATAATTTGGTACTTTTGAAACATCAATAAATACAAAATAAATAATAATCTGTCAGTCAGTCCGTCAGTGAAGCTAGATGCTCTTTCCAAGATGTAGATTCGAATGGAGAAGAATAAGCAAGAAACTCCATTCTTTTCTATTAAAAAAAAATCTGTTGTATTTGTCTCTAATATTAATCGAAACTTGTACATATTGGATGCAACTTTCCTACCTAAACTAATTACTAATCTATAGGTTAAATCCTTATAATAATAATTGACTATAAGATCAACATAAATAGTGATAACATTATCTACTTATTCCTTATCATTATCGATAAAGAGTTCCTTAAAATAATCACACATTGTGACAAAATCCGTATTATCAGTAGATGACAAATAAAACGTGACTATAATAATAGATTATAGTACTAAGATATATTTAATCTGACGAAAGGTGGTAGCCTTGGATATATCGCGTAATCGATTTACCTAATATACTGAGAAAGTTTCAAGAAGATTGTTACTAATGTAAAAGTATAATTATGGAATGCATACGGGAGGATTTGGGATATTTATTTATATATTATTGTCGATATCGATGAAAGATCCAAGACCATGTGTTTCTGTCCCTGGGAGAAGGGCAGGAGTAATCTAGATATGTACTTTTCTGGATGATTATTTTTATTTATTTTCAGCCATGATCATCCCACTGCAGGGCAAAGGCCTCCCTACCCTCCGTCCACTCCTATGTAAAGCATATTGCGGCCAATCCTTGTCATACATGTCCAATTCGTCCCGCCATCTCCTTTTCGGCTTGCCGCGACATCTATTGACGTTGAGTGGGCTGCACTCAGTAGTAAGTTTTGCCCACTGCTCGTCTGACATGCGGCAGATATGACCAGCACAGTTCCTCTTCAAGCCTGCGACTTTATGGCCAACGTCAACGATTTTAGTCGTGGAGCGCAGCGTGGTGTTCCTAATTCTGTCCGATACTCGAACTCCTAACATACTGTGCTCCATGGCCGGCTGGCAAACCTTGAGTTTGGACTTCTGATGTTGTGTCAAAGACCAAGTTTGAGCGCCATACGTGAGGATGTGCAGAATGCACACGTCCGTGAGTGATGACATTAAAGATGTGAATTAGAGAAATATTTGTATATCAATTGTGAAAGACCAAATCGTATACCTAGGAAATGAAGAACTTATTTTGTTAAAATTATACAATAACCTCAAAAGAAGCCAAGCCAACATTTTCCCTGCTAATATTGTTTGTCTTCTTTCTTTTTAGCGTCCTTTTTTTTATTTTATTTTTTTTAATCTGTCAAACACCAAGCGGTCACCGGTGACCGCGACCTATTGTTCTTTAATTGTGTCTATAAAACCGGTACTCGACGAGTTAAGGGACAAGCCCGCCACAACCTCCCAAAACCGCTGCAACTCCTGTAAGCCAGGATCTACAGTAGATACAACCATGAAAACACCGGAACATTCAGTGTTCCGGTGTTTTCATGGTTGTATCTGGCGCGTCCCAGGGACATGAGTAACTGTCTTGGTTCCCGCAACGAAATGAATCAGAAGATATTATAAGAGGAGAAGAAAAAACTATAGTTTCCACTTCCCTCGGTGAATTTCTGCAGGAGACAGAATAAATTAAGCCTAAAGGCGATTTTAGCGTCCTATCTAAGTTTAACCTACCTGTAGGATCTCCAGTCTGCACCATGAAGCCTTTGATGACGCGATGGAACACGTGTCCGTTGTAGTATCCGTTGCGGGAGTGCACGCAGAAGTTCTCCGCAGTTTTGGGCACGTCCTTGCCGAAGATACGAATGTGCACGTCGCCCAATGATGTGTGTAGAATGGCTTGCTCGTATAGACGTTGTACTCCTAGAAATATTACATTATTTTTATATTTTATATTACGTAAGATAATTATGTCACATGCCTGTCAAATATAGTTAAATTATGGCAAACCTCTATTTTGTACAGGAGAGAGGAATTTACATCTTGCTTTATCCTGTTTTTACAATTATTATGCCACCCGCGCTTCGGCATGAATGGGCCGGCTCGACTGGAGTGATACCACGGCCTCACAGAAAACCGACGTGAAACAACGCTTGCGTTCTGTTTCGCCGTGTGAGTGAGGTTACCGGAGGCCCAATTACCCCTCTCCCCAGTCTAGCCTAATCCATGAATCCCCCAGAATCCTCAAATTCCTAATCCTGAAAAGGCCGGTAACGCACTTGTAACGCCTTTAGAATTCTGGGTGTCCATGGGCGGCGGCGATTGCTTACCATCAGGTGATCTGTCTACTCATTTACCGGCTTATCCCATAAAAAAACCTACAGCGTCACCCATGTTTAAAAAGGATCCAAAGCAAAAAAACACTGAACAATACGAGTATAAATTATTCAAAACTAAAATAACTGTACCTTGTCCTTCAGTAGCGGAGATAATATCCTCCTTGGAAGGTTTCTCATTGAAGATGTCTCGGTCAGCGTCAGGGCTCTTGATGTCGTCAGGGCTGCGGCGGGAGAACATGTAGAAGCGATTCTTCTTGTACGCCGTGCAGAACAGGGTGGGGTCCGTCTTCACGTTCAGCAGTGTAGGGTTCTCTGACCCTTCCATCTCCAGCGTAGTCGCTACTTTTGATTGGTTCGTGCGACCCTGCAACATAAAATAGTAGTCTAAATTTAATATAACCACTTAACCAGATTGTGATTGTAATGGTAACTAAAGAAGGTGTATAGATCGTAGTAGGTGGTGTCCAGGCTCTGGAGTTTCTGTCTGCTTTCATTGTACATAGAAACATTTTTATGTATGTCTGGATGGATGAACCTGATGACAGGCTACGATAGTGTTCAAAGTTGGTAGAGGTTGGATGTTGAATTAAAAAAAAACTGAAGACCGAGCTCTGTGACGTGCTATACGTCCACGTCATACGTATTCAGGAAAGAACGGAAAGAGACTGACTGATAGAGTTAGAGTGCTCCATCGTAGGCCGCATCATCGCTTACCACCAGGCGAGATAGTGGACAAACGTCGACTCATAATGTAAGTAATAAGTCTGGAATACTTTCTGCCCTTGAACTGCAGGTGAAGCCACTGGCAAAACTAATATCTACTACATAAAAATAAGTCGGGTTTTCCTTCCTGACGCTATAACTCCAGAACGCACGAACCGATTTCCACGGTTTTGCATGCGTTGGGTAGGTCTCGGGCTCCGTGAGGTTTATAGCAAATAAAATTCAGGATTCTGGTGGCGAAACGGAGTTCGCGGGGTTTGCTAGTTGTTTATATATACCTGGAACAGTGCAAGATGTAGAGGGCGCAAGTTCTCGGGCTTGCCGAGCATGGCGACGCAGCGGTTGGTGACGAGGTTGACCACCTTCACCCCCAGCATCGTCGCGTAGATCACGAAGTGGCCGCTCGCATCGAACAGTACGTTCGCTAGGTGCACCGAGTCTGACTTCTCCAAGTCACGCTCAGCCGCCATACTGGAATAAAATTCTCGATATTAATCGCATTTTTACCTCCTGGATACCCAGGATTACACAAAATTATGTTAAAAAATTATCAGTAAAGTTTTGCCTAAAATATATAGAGAATGATTTCAGTCTCTGCGATATTACGCTGGTTACAATACATGTATCTACTGAATTAAGTGTTAATGCAAACTGCATACTAAAATTAAAGTAAAAAGGTAGTTCAATTAACTAGAAATTACGAAAACTTATCACTTAAATAAAACCTATACCAAATTCAATAATAAAGAAGTAACATTACCGTCTACCAAACTCCATGTTGGGCAGCTGTTGTGTCTGATGCTGCAGGTCCTGGAAGCGCTGGAGGCTCTCGTCGAGCACCTTGTGCAGCTTGCCTGACAGGAAATTGAACACACGCACCTATTACATCAACAGACAAACATCCTACACATTACATACATTGCTCACACACACACATGTACACATAATACCACCAACATGAGTAAAATATTTTAGTTTTAGTTATGAAATTGAGAAATTCGATACAAGATTCTAAAATTAAATACAAGTGTGATTTTAAAAAAAATATCTTGTAAAATTCTTACTTTCAGAGTATGCATGCAAAGAGGCATACCTTCAACATTAGTAAAGAAACAACACAAAACTTTCATCTTTGCTCTACCTAAAGGTCAACTTCGAGTTTTTATAAATCTTATCTTTTATCTTATACTACTATATAAAGCGGAAGAGTTTGTTTTTTTGTTTGAACGCGCTAATCTCCGTAACTACAAGTCTGATTTCAATAATTATTTTTGTGTTGGATAGCGCATTTATCGAGGATGGCTATAGGCTATGAAACATCACGCTACGACCAATAGGAGTTGAGCAGAGCGTGTGAAACCGCGCGGAAGTAGCTAGTAAATAAATAAAAACTTAACAATACTTTAAAAAGTTTTTGCCGAATATCATCATCCCTACCGATTTTGGCCGAACGAGACTAACTGCCTAAATTTAAATACTATCAAAAAATTAGCAATACATCATCTTACCTTTCTATCCAAACTGATCGACGCCATTTTCTTCCCATCAGGAGAAAACGCGAGCGCAGTAGGATAAGTCTTGTTCTTCACAAAATCATACAAATCAGTATCCAGCTTAGATTCAAATTGCACAGTCTTAGGAAATTGGTATTCATGCTTGGGGCCTGTCCAGTATTCAATGATCCCTGCCTTATCTACAGAGACTGCGGTTTCATAGACCGGGTTATATTTGATGGTGGTTACTGTAGCTTGGTGAAGAGTCTGGAAGGTGTGTAGTGGAGTGCTTGAGGTTTGTGTACCATCGAATATGTGGATCTTGTTACTGGCTTTCTCGGAACTGTAAGGTAGAAATAACATGGGCTGAAGTATTGAGAGGTACTTTTTTTATGAGATAAGCCGGTAAACGAGCTAGCGGGTCACCTGATGGTAAGCAATGGACATCGCCCATAGACGCCTGAAACACCAAAGGCGTTACCAGTGCGTTATATCCCTTTTTGGGTCGCGGAGAACCTAACGGGTTACTGGGGCTCCGGCTCGAAGTGCAGGAGTAGGAACGGGGTGGTTTTTAGTCAGTTAAAGTCTGACACTCCCTCCCGCCTCACCCAGGCAGGAGAAGTCATTCGATATTGTTCGCCCCTTAAAAAAAATGGGCCTTTTGAGAATTGTGAATTTGAGGATTGTGAGGGATGAATCCCTCATTAGGATTAGGATTGACTGGGGAGGGGAAGCGGTAATAAGGCCTCCGGTAACCTCTGTGAGACGGTGGTTATCACTCCGGTTGAGCCAGCCCATCGGTGCCGAAGCATGGCTCTCCCACACTTATACTAGATACAAGAGTAACTTAATAGTTTGGAGTTTGAAATCTTTTTGTTGTTGTTTCTTTCTTTTATTACAATCAATGGTATTAGAGTAGAATAGAATAGAAACATTATTACACAATATAAAAAAACACAAAGGACAAATATTTAGAAATTAGTAATACAATGGCCAGTCTTATTAATAAGAAGTGAATTAATCCCAGAGTCTGCACATTATTATTGCAAGAATGTTGTTGAACTGACCTTACGTGTTACATATAGTTAGTATCAGTATGTTATCAGTGTAGTAGCATAGTTATCAATGTAGGATTAAGAAAGTGATTATAATTAGTTTAGTTCACAACTATACTTACATAGCTAGAGCAGATATAGGATCCCCAGCCGAGTGCACCCATTCAGCAATGTATGGCTCAAACTCTATTGATATCATGTTGATCATATCTGAAATAGAATTGACATATTTGTGAATAAAATTATAAGCTGGCTGGCTGAGATGTCTAGCCACTATAAATGTCTTATTGTCATAAATTAAGTCAAGAGTCCAAGATCACTATTTTACATACCTAGAGCTGAAACTATAATATTTGAAATAAAAAAATACTTGCAAATAATTCATCAATTTAAGCTGGTGAGTCTTGTTTTTGGTTAAACATTAATGCTGAGTTTGTAGCTGGGAGCTAAGTACAAGTCTGTCTTATGTTTAAAGTAATCGAAAAGAGGCCTCTCAGCTCTCTGATTGATTGGAACATTGGACCCAGCAAATCAGAGCGCCGAATGCGTACTCGTTTCAATTACTTTAAACATGAAACAAATCTAGTAACCCAAAAGGATATGCAAATATGCTAAATTATTAGTTTATATGATAGAATGTATCTTACCAAAATTAATAACATCAAAAACTTTGATTGTTTTCTCCGGAGAGGCTGTGCAGAGCAGTGTACCGGTAGTATTGGTGGCAACATGACTGATAGGGGCAAGGTGGCAGCGGAAATGCTTAACAAATTCTATGCCCTCTTCCTGAAACACAATCATACATTTATCTAATTACTAGTTCAAAGAGTTGATGGGTAAATAATAGGTCTCTATTTATTCATTCTTTGGTACATGTTTACAAGAATCTTCAATAGATTTGAGTTTTCAATAGAGATAAATTGCGAATTGGTAAATTATTTCTAGTAAACTTAAAACTATCATGTTTAACCTGTTTCTTCCAAAATTTTAAGTGACCATCTTGACTAGCGGTGATTACGAAGTCTGTCTTAGTAACTACAATGTGTGTGACCACATCTCGGTGCATGTAACTGAACTCGTAAGTCTCCGAAGATGGCAAATTCTCCATGTAAAGAGATTCAAATTCCAATACTGAAATAAATTAAAGATTTTTTATTAGTCCACATTAGCTACCATTTACTTTGATTTATGTTCGTTAATATAAGAAACTGTAAATAAATTACTGTACCTTTTCGCTTTTTTTGTTTAGGTTTCGATGCCTCAGACGGCATAGGCCCTATCCAACCGTCATTTTCATCCGTTTCTTCTTTTTCATCAACACTACTACGTCTCTTTTCTGCAGACATTATTATATCGCCTGAAACAAGAACTTTTCTTTCAAAATCGTAATTCTTTCTCTAAGTTTCTTCATAAACACCGTGATATCGATATTCTGTCGGAATTTGACAACTTGAGTTGACAATGGCGTTTTTTGACATATATCAAAAGTCTTTTGCTTTTCCCACTAATTCATTCGCTTCTCTGTTGATCTGTTCAGTTTTACGCATGGTTCCATGGTTTCACGGAAATAAATAAACAATTTACTAGTCTTTCATTGGCTGAATTAGCGTGTCTATTCTCATTGGTATAAAAATTATCCTCTAGAGTGTCTATTGGTTAATAACTGACTTGAACCATAAACAATAAATAAGAAATCTATCGAAATTACTCAAAATAAATTATAAATGTTAGGGATAACATTTCATTATATTTTAATCAATGAAATGGTTTTTAAGATTCGTTAGCTTTATTTTAAAAAATTTAGTAACGTTATATCTTTAAAATACATTTTGTAATAATCACTAGTCACGTCGGAGGAGCGTTGGAAACTTTTTACCTCTGTTGTCTATGCTCAAAATGTCTTTTACGGATTCGTAGTGATGGTGGCTGGCTTCCTTGCAAACGAAGCGTCGTAAATTACATCTTATTTGTAAATTTTAATAAAAATTTGATCGTTAAACGATCGAATCAGTAGTGATTTAAGTGCTCAAGCAGTTTCACATCCAATCGGTAAGTGTAAAGTGCATCATTTATTGTGAAACCGCGCGCTACCGGTACCTCTACACGTGGTTAGGCTGTTAAACGGCGTACGTATGTTACAGATGTGTTTTCTTTTAAATATCAGCAAAAATAATAATTACATTGATTCCCCAAGTGCTTTCAAGTGAAAATTGTATATTTTTATGTCAACGCATTCTGTATAGGTTGTTTATTGAACGTGGTTAGTTTGACAAACGGTGACTCGTTGCTGACACATAAAGCTGCTGTTGAGGTAATTTTATGGTAGAATATGTTATCGGGATTCATTTATATTCGCATTATAGCAGTCAGCTCGATCACAGAAAGTTGTTCAATCATCAGCTTGTGGTATTTTCTTCAAGTATTTATCTAGTCTACTGTTGTAACTTTCTTTTTTTTCTGTTAGTGTAAGACAATGACGCATCGCTGCACTATGAACAGCATGTGGGAAAGTACAAATACGTATAGTATGTATAGGAACCTTACCAAGCCTAGTTTAACATGTGGTAAATTGTGTACCTGTTACATGCTTACACAAAGGACCCTATAGTATGTTGAAATATGCCAATTCAGTGGTACCTTCAAACGTGGTATTATTCACTTCAATGTAGGGATGAAAGTATTTTCACTGTAATACTAAATGCATTTGTTGTTTTTGTAGTCATTCTCTTTCCATAGATATACAATCATGTTTTTTAATCATTCAAGGACATTGTCCGTCTTGCCAATAAAGATTAATTTTATTTATTAGTTCTCATCATGTGTTCATATAATTACAGTGACTTGAATTTCTCAGTATGAAAGTCAATGTAATCAATGAACAATTAAAACAACAGACTTTCTAAGAATTTAAATTCTTCAATTTAATTTTCACATGTCATTTGCTGCGGAATCATTAGCAAACCAGTTACTAATTATCTATTAAAGTAGTATAGTTAGTACTTAACTATTTTAAAACGATAATATTATTACTGTTACAAAAGGTACATTATTGTTAATGAAATAAGTTTTCTTTATTTTTCTTTTTTACTTTTCATTAATAAGTAAAAAGGTTTGATACACTTTAGTAAAATACTGTTGGCACACTCAAGCTATTGCTCCATTGACCCTATAACAGTTGTGTTTAGAAAGTCATTCATTTCGTGTAATTGCATCACAACCAACTCGATTTCACACAAAAATTCATGTCGGATATTAACATTTTTGATGAGCATTTTCATGAGTAAATATTTGTTTTAAATTGTCATTTATTTGGTTTGAGATAAGTTTTAATTCTTTGTCAAACTACAGGTAAGAACTTTGATGGACAAAAAAGACCACATGGAGTAAAAATTTATTTATTACTTGGTCTTGTGTATTTAACAGTTATTCTAACATATTCTACAATTCCTAAGTAGGTATATAACTTTGTCATTCAGCTTTTTGCCCACACATAAACCTACAATTTATCTAATGTGCACTTCAACAAATAAGTATTGATTCTCCTGAGACCTACTTATTACATGTGGCAAATGTGTGTGGCACTAAGCTGTAGCCTAGAGTAAATTGGGACAGAACTAGAGTATATACAGTAGTTTTGTTGTTATAATTACACCTATATTTAATGACTTTCCCAATTACTGCTTTTATTTTACCCCCTCTACATTTTACCGAGTTGAAACACTAAAAAAACTCCACATCACCTAAATACTGTAAGGTGTTCCAAATTGTTAATACAATTCTATTGTAATCTGTATATTTGGGAACAAGTGCTTACATCTGTATATTTGAGAACAATTCTATTACATAACCATAATGTATTGGTTATGCAAATAAAGTACTCAATAATGTCTCGCTATGGTGTTGATCAATAGTTTAGAGGCCAAAGAAAGGTGTCGCCATGTCGAGGTCGCTCGGCCGTATTATTTATGTTCTAGATAACAATATTGTTTCAATCATTTATTGTTTTAACTGCTACACACACAAGTTTATAACCATTTGTATAAATAATGTATGGCTGTGGTTGCTGCATTGCACCATGAACATTGTTCTTACTAAAATCTCAAGGATTACTTGACTTTATAAATCGTTATTTATACTCTATAATAATTGTAGCATTACTTCGCTCACTAATGTTTTCATCATTGGAAAGTTCTTAACACAATCTACTGCATGTCTCAAGAGCCAATAACCAGGACAAATGTCTCTTAAAATGACTTAAGTCAACAGACCTTGTGGAATGTGCGACGTTCATATATTCTCAATTGTTTTGCATCGTAGCGGGCCTCCCTTATACGTTTCGATCAAAATGTTAGCCGCGAGTCAATTGCTGACAATCGTACGTAATTTGCCGTGATCTTGGCACATGAAGCGCGTTATCAACCTCAGGGTCATCACGTCAGCGGAACTTCTGTGCAAATAACTCACTGATAATGTCTCTGTTACACTTACAGTCTGAAAAGGACTAAGAAAGAGATGGCAGAGGCGAATGACCGTATATTATAAAGGTCATTATTACAAGGTCAAAAAAGTTCACTGAATTTAATGTTCGTCCAAAAACATGTTTTAACACACCATTTTATAATCTTGACTATATTAATTTATCCAAATGTTTAGTCTTGTCTTTCTGTACGCTAAGTGAAATGTAGTTCTGTCACTGTTCTCGTAGAGGTACCGTTACTACACAGTAACAAGAGTATAACCAACTGAGTGCATCGTATTGTTCCAGACAATGAGTTCGAGTGTATGCTACAAGTGTAACCGGACAGGGCACTTTGCCCGCGAGTGCACCCAGGGTGGTGTTGCTGCTCGTGACTCTGGTTTCAACCGTCAGCGCGAAAAGTGCTTCAAGTGCAACCGCGCTGGGCACTTCGCACGGGATTGCAAGGAGGAGGCCGACCGTTGCTACAGGTTAATATTATTTTAAGACATTTTCAGCAAAAGAACAAGTAAGTGCTACGCCAGACGCTGTTGACGAAGCCTAAAAACGACCAGTCCATCATAACAATAACGTAGCGCCTTGACTGTACATCTAATCGTAGTTTGATGGTGTGTATTTGAAGGGGAGATATAAGATCGGTGACCCGTTGCTCAACTCAGAGCGGTTAGTTGACTGCGGTAGCGCAAATCAATCAAGCATCTAGTTGTAACGTTGCTATAGGTTAACGACACTTGTAATGATACGTGTTTCGTGTAGACATCGAGTATCTCCATTGGCTCGTTACGCATGAGTGGTCACGTTTGAGTGACTGTACTCACGCGTAGTATCAGCAAGCGTGCACCTACAAGGAAACCTGTGCCACGCGCCGTTCGTATCCACGTGAAAGGAATAACTGAACACCAAATAGTTCCTTATGTATGTTGAAACACTGAATCTTAAAACATTTTTATTCAGTTGATTTATTTCTCTTTTGTGATTACTTTCAAGTAGTATGCAATCAAATCAATATATCCAATAAAACAAAGTGTGTCCAAGAGAAGTTACTGAGCCAATTCAATTCGTTGGTAGGCGACCAACATAGTGCCAGCCATGTTTAAATAACGTTAGATTTAAGTGCATGTTAGCTAACCGGGGCTCTTATCCGACTCACGTCGGTTTATGATTAGATCATATCTAAAACCAGTTTCGATAACGAGGTTAAGAGTCTTCGGTGTTTCTTTGCTATTCGATTTAGCTTGAAAGTCCATTGGAACTAACGAATTGTCTCAGTCAAACTTCTATATTTTAATTATTTCGCGCATAAGTTACATTATGTCATAGAGAAAGTGTTGAGTGTTGTGTATCTGTCTTCTAGTACTCAAACATCACGTGTCATAGACTATTAGCATTGACCTTGACTTCTACACACGTGCTGTATTCGATTGTCATCGACCTTTCTTTTTAATTTATTTAATATTATACATAGAATAAAACTTGTGTGACTAGAGTTTTTAGAACGAATGTTAGTATTTTGTAATAATGTATTTTTTGTGTACAGATGTAACGGCACGGGACACATAGCGCGTGAGTGCGCGCAAAGTCCGGACGAGCCGTCGTGTTACACTTGCAACAAGACCGGGCACATCGCACGGAACTGCCCAGAGGGCGGGCGCGACAGCTCCAACCAGACCTGCTACAACTGCAACAAGTCCGGCCACATCTCACGCAACTGCCCCGACGGCACCAAGACTTGTTACGTGTGCGGAAAGCCCGGACACATCTCCCGCGATTGCGAAGAGGAGCGGAACTAACATACGCCTCTTCGCGACTGCCTATATATAAAATAAACTATGTATATTATGATGCCACGCACGGACGATAAGCAAAGGA